TTAGAAATAAAATTACTGTGATTGGAAAGAACATTTTGTTAACACTAGTTCAGCATTCATGAAACACAGATTTGTCTTTGCCATTTTTTTTTTTCCCAATGAAGACGTCCATGGGTTGTGCATACATTCAAATTAAATAAAGGTGTTTTATGGGAAAATGGTCAAGTAGGCGCTGTACGTGTGCTGGACTGTTGCTGTATCCTTGGGCAAGACACTTGATCTACTTTGTCTGCGAGAATGTTTGCAGCTGTCAGCAGCACTTGGTTATTTTGTCCAATCCAAATATAAAAACATGGGAAAAAAAATCTCTCATGTTAATAATAACATGTCATGTAAACCGTAAGAAGTTTTGGTTGTTTCTTTAGTTCTTTAGTCGGCTGGTGGTGTCTTAGTTGTCGTGAGTGAAATGCCAAAAAATGTCTTAAATTTGATCACACTAAACATTGTTGATTTGTGAGGTTCTTGTTTAGAGCAATGTACAGTGTAAATGTGTGGGTGCTGGGTAGTGATGGGCATTTGATTACATTTTCTTAATCGATCGTCTGGAGAATTATCAATTATCGATTAATCATTAATGTTTTTATATAAAAATTATCATTATTATTAGTATCTGCACTAATCTGCATAAATAAATTCAACTTTATGACATATAAACATAATCACTCTAGAGCCACATCAGCTCGTTTGACATTAGAATGTGTTTAATGCAGCTTTGTTTAAATCTCACAGAAACAAAACTTAAAACCACATGACTAATTTGCATAAACTAAACAAAGATAAAAACAGCTCTTGTGTCACTGATGTGGTTCAACTTCTGTCGGACTAAAGGACATGACTCAGGTGAATACAGGTTAGTGTGAACATATTTGTGTTTGTCAAAACCAGGACACTGTACGGGGGGTGGGAGGTGGGGCCTCGTCATCGACATTGAGCGACTCTCACCTGGCAAACCTTTTTAAGATTTTTCGGTGTCCTGGTGCTTTGAGGTCCCTGACACCACCACTGGACACTGAAACATATGTGCTGCTTTACACACTGTGCACATGGACTCACACTTGTCTCGACCGGGACAGAAAGCGGGGAATTTCTTGTCCAAGTCATCGTTAAATGCACATTTGCGTTTTGACATGTAGCAGACTGACCGACTGTTTGTGTCTCAGTCATTCTGAGTTACAGAGCTATGAGAGACGCTCAATTTAATAGCCCAATGAAAGGAAATGAAAACCTGAAGAATTGCATCACTAAAAAAAAAAAAAAAAAACTCAAACAGCCAGGACAGAATGTGGAAAACGGACATGTTCAGGGAAAAAAACAGACATTTGCTCACCCTATGCTACGCACAGCAACCTACATTCGGTTTGTTGATTAAAAATGAACATAATCGACAAAATTCTTAATGATCAATTATCGATTAATCGACTAATCATGCCCATCCTTAGTGCTGGGTAGTGTCAGATTCAGATCAGAGGTTTAAACCAACTGGATTTCAGCATTGGAACTGACAACCCTCATCAAAAATACACTTGCTTGCTGTGTCTTTAGTGCTCCTATTTCCTGGTGGTTCCGATATAGAACCATGTACACTAAATATGTAGGTTGAACTCTCTCTCCTCTGTTGAGCTATAGGAGAGCTTCTGTATTGGATTTGTGGATCTGCGGTTTGAGCTCCAGTAACTGATGTTTGGAGTTCAGAGTTTCCTGATGATAAACCCACACAGAGGTGCAGAGGCACAGCACCGACTACAGCCGACCATCCAAGAGAAAAACACACAAAAAACAACAAAATACTGCTCCACCTCTGCCCATGTGGGATCAGACCAGCCTGAACCTGCTCTGACCTGTAAATACGTGTTAACAGAAGATCACACTGTCCTGGTTTGGTCCTGGGTTCAGTGCAGTGCTGCTGGAGACTTGGTTTAATCATGTTTTTTTTTTTTTTTTCAAATGTGACAGAAAAATGAAAAATTGCTTCTTGTGGTTTAAGCCATGTTTTAATGCTGTTACCTCTTCAAAAAACAGACCTGGAGTTGTGTTTTATTTCATTCACACATGTTTGAATAATCTTGTCTGTTCTCATCTCCAAAGCTCAAAACGTGCTGTTCCACCTTGTGATGTCATGAAGCGGTAGTTTTCAAGTTAACAGCTCCTTTTTACCTTTAGTCCAGCAGAGAATTCCTGGGTTGAAATTTTCCAAATGACAATGAAGGTGCATGAAGTATAAAAACACAGTGGAGCACTTCCTGTATCACCACATGACATCACAGGGTGGAACAGAGTGTTTTCAGTTTACAAGAAAAACTCAGCCTAAATAGACAGGGTTTGTGTGTTAAACATGTGTTTTCAAATAGGAAACATGCTGATGGTAAATAGTGGTAATACAGGAAGTGCTCCATTGTTTTTTTAAACTGCACACACCTTCACTAGAATCATTTGGATGATTTCAGCTCTGGAATTGTCAGCTTCTACTGAACTAAAGGCAAAATAAGATGTTAACTACCATCATGTGACATCACAAGGTGGAACAGAGCATTTTGAGCTTTGGAGATGTACACAAACTCATAATAAAGGATTACTCAAATATGTGTGAATGAAACAAAACAATTGAGCGGGTTCTAACTTGGTTCTAACAATCCATTTTGTGTAGTGTAGGAGCTTTAGAGAGAGGAGTGAAGAGTTGGGGCCAGTAGAAAACTACACTGTAATGATGTGTCTTATCTAGTTCAGCATTACCTTTATAGATTTGTGATAGAGTTTGTAAGAGGGGATTGACATTTTCTTTTAAGAACTAAGGTTAGAATTTTCATTTCGTCATGGTTTCTGCACACTTAACCTAACCTTGAGATGGAGGCAAAACTTTCCATTGTTTCTAGAAGTTCAGACTTGGCTGTGATTGGTTGAATCATCTGTTATTCACTCAGATCGCCACAGACTGACCAATAGGTGAAGTGGACAGGGAAAACTTTCAGAGGCAGATAGCTTTAGTAGTTTTTTGGTTGTTAGGTTGGTAGCTAGTCAGTTATGGTTCTGAATGCATATTTCAGCATTATTTCTAGTTTTTTACTTTTTTATTTGTGGACAGTTTTACCTAAACCCTAAGTCTGTCGGTATGTTTGTGACCTAGAAACACAAAGCTAAGTCATTGCAGAACAATATTGGACTTATAATATCTCGCTGAGTCAACTCATCCACTGACAGAAAACAAGTCTCAGTCACGGGCCTTGGGGCTTTGAGAGTTTGATGTCAAAACTAAACTTTAGATGACGATACTCGTGTTCTTTGGGGGTGAAATTATGCAGCGTAATGGCAATCTGCTGCTGTCAGGACCAGTTGTTCTGCTACAGCAGACCTGCCTCCCTCCTGTACACAGCCGACGAGAGAGATGAACTAACCCAGCTCCAGCTCCATTTACGTGGATAAGACAAGATACAAGTTTCAGAAGACACCAGAACTGTCACCATACTAAAGTTTCAAACTCGATTTTTATGCTAAGGAACTCTGTTCTCAATACTGATTCTGATACTGCAATGATTCCATTTCTTTAGACAGTAGAATGTGATTTTTACTAAATTTTAGTACTTTATTTTCTACTCCCATGTGGTTTTATATGTGTGTAATCCTCAGTGGTCCAGGTAGTTACATAGTGTCCATGGGCCTGTGCTGGTGTCTGTGGTCTTTGTTCTGATACAGCTCAAGATCATTCCAAAGATATTCAGGAAAGCTTCATTTCTGTTCAATGAATGTGACTTTTTTAATACTGATGCCTGTTCATATGAGTATCTACGTTTGATACTAGTTTTAGTATCAATTAGCATTAGATTTTTGATATTTTTGGCAACTTGTGGATCTGTTCCACTATCAGTACAAAGTTTGTCAACTAAGATGCATCGGTCACTTACTTGACTCAATGTCTGAAGGCCTACAGCTCTAGTCTTTTGAGAGAAGTGATGTGGAGGGACTTCCATGTTCAGACACCTGTTACAGCCCTCACACGTCTGCTGGGATTTGAATGCTTTAACACTGTATGTGTGGTGAAACGGTTAGTGGTGAAACAGTGACACTCGTCAGGTCTGGTCTCAGAGGTCCAGTGGGTCACATTACAGTGCTGAGCAGAGCAATGATCCTGTCTGTACTCAAACATCCCAGTCCAAACATCAGAGACCATCTGAGGAGTGAAAGAGGAAGGGGTTACATGGTTTCATTTTAATAGAGATGGGCTTAGGCAAACGTCAGGATTTGTTTGTAAAATGTACTATTATAGGATATATTATCATCATTGTTGTGTGTCTTTTTTAACTTTGGATCAAGAGTCTGTTATAAAGTTTAATGATGATGATGATGATGATGATGATTAGCCACTCCTGTAGCTTCACTGGTGGCAGGATCTCTGTGTTTCTGTGTGGAGTTTGTATGTTTCTCCTCGTGTCTGGGTGGGTATATCGGTCGGCTGGTATATCACATCGATATTTGCATTTTTTAGTGTATCATCTATCAACATTAAATCTCCAGCACAGGTAGATATGTTGTTTTGGCCGACCAGCTGCCTAAAAAAAACATATGTAGCTTTATATGAAAACGTTAGTGTGAAGAGATAACTGTATGAAATGTGACTACATTGCTCTTAGGTTTATGATAAAGAAAGGATGTGGATGATTTTTTGGTAAATTTAAATTAATACATTAATGTCATTTTAATTTACTATTTTTAATTTACTAAATTTAGAGTTTAAATTTACAAAATTGGCCCTATATGTCACCCCAAAAATATCAAACTCTAAATCAATGATGAAAAAACCCTTATCACTTGATAGTCCTGACCAAGTCTTGCTCATGGATCTGGAGACAGGTCCCTGGGCTCTGCTCCTGACAGGTTGAACCAGCTGTTTTGCAGGATGGGTCAAATGCAAAGACAAATTGCCCTGTGGAGAGAATAATATGTGCCTTACCCTTTTGTGTGTGTAGTCCATCATTAATAATGCCCTGTCCTGTTTGTGTTTCCTTCAGCATGGCTCAGGCGCGGTCATCTGGGAGGAGGTACCTGAGGGCCTTTGTGAGCGGCTTCTTTGTGGCTGTCCCTGTGACTGTGACTGCTCTGGACCGCTTTGCTTATGTGGCCAGAGTAGAAGGAGCGTCCATGCAGGTGAGGACTGTCCAAGTTTTAACAATGACTCTGACTCATAAAGGTGCTAAACTAAATATTTGCTGTTTTAGAAATGTGAAAAACAGAACTAGTTCATTTTAAACCGTTTGCAGTGGTCCACAATTATTCCTGCCTGACCTTATGCATTCAGATGAATGAATGTAATAAATAGGGGTGTCAAATTATCGCGTTAATTGCGATTAATTAATTACAGTCATATTTAGCGCGTTATGTTTTTTAATCGCGTTAATCTCATTTTTAATCTCTAACTTTACTGTTTCTGTATGTGAGTTGCTTTATTATAAAACCTGTTTTTATGTGTTGTTGGGACAACAACACACACAAAAAAAACACATTTATAAATTTTTTTATTTCGGTAATTCCACTCATTGCCGGAAACCCACACAAAACGCACGCAGTAAGAGCGACGTAAACGTCATGTTAACGTTGGCGGCGTCAGTCGCACAATGGACGAGGTGGAAGAGCCAGTAGAACAGAAGCAGCATTGCACAGGTAAAAACGCATTCGTGTCTTGGAAATTATTTTCCCAATGTGAAATATAAAAGAAAATAACAAATATAAAATCGCCTACAACTTAAATGTCACTGGTGAAAACAACCTGCATAGGCTCATGATGTCTGCACTATTGTCCTATAGTGACCTGCCACATGAGGGGACACGCACACAAAAACACACAAACACACACAAACACAAACACACACAAACAAACACACACCTTCATCATCGTCATCAACCTGAGAACGCGCGGACCACGTTTCCTTCCGTAGACACTGCGTGGACACCGACGTGCTCCTGTGAGCCGCGTGTGGATCTTGTTTTCTCGCTACGCTGCGTAAACCCGCGCTTCCTCCTGTGCGCCTCTAAACCAGAACTAACACCAAGACTAAAACCAGGACTAATCCAGTCCAGGACTAAACCAGGACTAAACCAGAACTAACACCAGGACTAAAACCAGGATTAATCCATTCCAGGACTAAACTAGGACTAAAGTAGAACTAAAGCAGGTCTAAACCAGGACTAAAACAAGGACTAAAACCAGTGATCTCATATATAAAGTATTTCTCTATCAATAATATTTTTAATATGGTTAAGGAAAGACTGGACTTTTTATTGTCTTTAAGTAGACAAAGGTTATTATGTTCAGATTTCCTCGTCTTTGCTACTTTACAGCAAACAGTTTCTTATTCATGGAGACTTAGGCTCAACAGCCAATTTAGAGAGATTTGTTAAACAATAAATGACTTTATAAAGTCACTTTTTTAATCTATATCAGTCTTTTGATCTGCCACAATAATGTAATAATGAATTTAAATGAAAATACCTCAAATTGAAGGCTTTTCTCAGCAATTTTTAGGTGAGATTAAAATGAGATTAATTAGATTAATTAATTACAGATCATAATTAATTAATCTCTAAATTTTTTTAATCGCATGACAGCACTAGTAATAAAACTATTTACTGGTTGCAGCTGACCACAAAATTTTATGATGTTTGAACTTTTATTTACACAAAATTGTTCTGTACTTAGTTGAGAGATAAATAACAGCTACATAAACACATCTGTATCAGTTTTGACTTATTTTATGTTTGTTTTAAGGAAATAAATCCAGGTATTAGTCGTTACACTGGTATTGGTTGATATCTGGTATGGGCAGATATTTAAAGTATCAGAATCTGTATTGAAACTGAAAAAGCTGGATCGGTGCATCCTTAGGATAAACTCAGGGCCTTTGCTGCTGGGTACAGACAGCGATGGGTACATGATGGCAAAGTGGCTGCTGATTTGTTTGGTTAAATGAAACACAACTTTTGAGTGGAGTGGGCTGTTAACCTTATTTGAGAAGGCGAGAAGTTTGAGTGTCCCTTTGAAAACAAAAGACAGAAAGACATCAACCTATTCATTTAGAGCAGTGTGAGAGGGAGGCTGCGCACTGCTCTTCTATGTAATTATAAAATCCTGTAGTGTAATTGTATCGGTACTGAAGAGTAGAACTGAACTTGTGTTTGTTCATGACATGGATGGATAGATTTAGAAAAGAGCTACAGAGAAGGGACAGTGAGTACAGAGCTTAATGTTCCACATTAGGACATCGAACTTTTCTATCTCCACGGAGACTTGCAGGTGAGTCCACCAGGCAAAATGAAAGGCTAGATCTGTGGAGAGGCATGCCCACTCACCGTAAGAGCGCCTTTTGTTTGACGTATTGAGTAATAATAGAACCTGTTATGAAAATTATTATTTCAGTGCCATTCTATGGAACATTACAAGCAAAGCAATACGCAGTGCAGCTTTAATCACCCACATCTAACATACCATATTTTTCGGACTATAAGGTACACCGGCTTATAAGTCGCATTAAGCAAAACAAAACAGTTAAGTCAAACTTTATTCAACTCATTCACAATAACTCAGCCCAAAGTGTAGATCGGGATGAATCTTTCTGTCCGAGCCCGGGTCGTGTCTGACAGAGCAGTGATTGAATCCGACCCGAGCACGACAGGCATTAAGATATTTGTGTCCAACCTGACCGAACCCGACACAATTAAAATCACACGATTTCCACAGACCTCATGACACATGTAGGATATTGTTTGTGTTCCTTTAATGCAGTGATTCTCAACCACTGTGCTGCGGCACACTAGTGTGCCGTGAGAGATCGTCAGGTGTGCCATGAGAAATTATCCAATATCACTTTTTTTTAATTAAAATTTATTAATTATTACCTGCAAACATTATGTCATTGTCGAGTGTCCGTGCTGTACTTACTACAGCACAAACACTATACTACAGTGTAGTATATAATGACTGGCAGAGTGATCTAATATTCGTCCAGGTGGCAACAGGCAGCTAATTGCCTCGTTCCTTTAAAACAGGGGTGCTCTATACGATCGCGATCTACCAGTCGATCGCCAAGGTCGTGTGGGTAGATCGCCGTGTCTCGTCTCGGACTCGCGTTTGGACTTGGTCTTGTCTCTCACTTAACAAGTGTGATCATATTTCATTACGGCCGCTGCTGTTGGTAATAAACTTGTAGCGGGGTGCAGCAGCGTGTGGGGCGTCTCAGTGCAGCCTGTGTGCTCATTTGAAACCTGCGGAGACTCTACGGCACATCACAAACACACATGCTCCCTATGCACGGCTCGTCTGCAACAGCGTGTGCCCTCGTGTACCAGTGTGCATCACAGGGCAGGTTCAACTTCCTAAACATCCTACCTGTCCATCTGCCTCACGTCAGCACGCCGCCCCTCGCCTTTTCACGCTCTCGCTCCTTCCTGCGTACAGCGAACACAAGCCCCTCCCACAGTGCGGCTGATTAGAAGAACAAGACCAAACGTGAAGCAAAAACGAGTCTAAATTTGTGTTCCAGTGTTGGCACAAAGCAGGTCTACAGCATAGAGCAGATCTACAGAACAGACCTACTGCCACATTTGGCTGAAGTTTGTCTAACAAAAGTGCACAAATGCATCTGTGTTTGTCACGATGTGTGTTTGGTTTGGTAAATGTGCAGAGGCTGGTAAATATCACTGCAAAACCAGAAAAGAATGAAACTCCAGTTTGGAACTTTAAAAAACAGGTTTAAAAATCTTCCTTCACTTTTTTCACAGTTTTGTGTAAAGTGCCAGAGGAAGTTCTCTTAAAGAAGAGGTTCTCAAACTGTGGGTTAGGGTCCAAAAAAGGGGCACAGAGTGTTTCAGTGCGGTTTGCTTGGTTTTGTATTAGGTAGATCTTTATGACTTGGTCATTTTGTAAGTAGCTCGTATGCTGAAAAAGTGTGAGCACCTCTGCTTTAAAAGAATTAGTAACGTATGTGCGTGGTGACAGTCATGGAAAAGTTTTTAAAACGGACGAATGCAAACTCCGAACTGGGCCTTGGACAAGATTCTGACCCAGAAGAAGAGCTTTTCAAGCTTAACTGCTATAAAAACTAAAAACAGAGAGAGACTGAGAGCTGTTGATGAAGAGCTTCTTGTGTGTCTTTCTTCTATTCCTGCCAGGATATCAGCTTTGTGTTCATCTAAACAGGCGCAGGTCTCACACTGAGTAAGTAGAAATTAATGTAGAAATTATATTGTAATTAAATATACTGTATAGTGTCATTTTGTAACATTTTGGTTAGTGGTGTGCCGCAAGATTTTTCCAATGTAAAAAACGTGCCGTGGCTCAAAAAAGGTTAAAAACACTGCTCTAACGGACACAGAGACACAAAATACAAAGTCAGTGAGTCAGTTTCCATGCTCAAGCCCAGACATTCACGATCCATCGCCAGATCGTGGCGTAACTCACCTGGCGTTGCCTCTCTGTCTTGGTGAATGTGTATTACTCCGCGAGGCTCCTGACTACAGTAGCTGTAATGCTCCGACAATCCATTAACTGGTGTGGCTTTGTAATTTACCAAAGTCATACTAAAACACTTTGACACGTTTGTGAGCACCGTGTACCACATAAAATTAGTTTGAGGTCAATAAGCACAACCAGAATTAATACATAAGCCGTACTGTCGATTTTTGAGAAAATTAAAGGATTTTATGTGCGTCCTATATTCCAAAAATATATAGTTCTCTTTGCGCTCTTGTTAATTTCGAGTTTTTTGCATTCTCATTTTGTTATTGAAGGCTAAAATAGTCTTATTGAGACGTCCACATACACAAATAGATGACTGATTATAATATAGTGCAATATGAGCTGATAACACTCTTTGTTACTCGACTGCGGGATGTTTATTTTGTGGGACAGATAAGATATTTCTGTCAATTACCCAGCGGGAGTGAAATGGGCCCTCTCTCTGCCTTTAATGAAAAAAACTGTGTAGTATTTTGGTGGGTGGCGAGCGTCTTATTCGACAAAGTGCCATGGCGTCGCGAGATAATGGAGTCTGTTGTTGGAGAGGGGACTGTTTGGAGACGGGGCGCTGATGGAACTGTCAGATCCAATGTCAGGACAAGAACGCAACTCACACGAGGATATTACACCAAGCAGGTTAGTTATGAACAGATAAATCACCAACAAGCATGATGTCATTCTCTGTTTTTTTTTTTTTTTCCTTTTTTCATAACAATAACCAAACAATTGATACTTTGCAGCTGATGTCATCAATATTCCCTGGGCGTGTAATGCTAACTGTAGGCACTGCTCTGTCTGAAGCTCTGTTACTCTGAAATTAGACTTTTATCTAAGCTTTAGTTTTTGAACACAATTGGACCAGAAGGCGCTGGCTTAGGTGGAACTACAATAGGTGAGCTGATTTGTGCTGTTAAACAAGTCGCTCACCCATATAGTTACAGTCACAATCTCTTATTAGCCAACAGTTTTTCAGTTAGTCACTCTCACCTTTTTGTTGAAAATCAAACTGTTAAACAAAGGATGGTCGCTCGGACTCATCACAGACCTGATCACAGAAAATGTGAGTTTTCAGATAATTTTACAACTTTTTTGGCAGTGTTTTCTAATGTGTACATTGTGCCACTATGGTCTAAACATTACACCAGTACACGTAGACCTATATGTAGAACACCCCTGGAGTGATGTCACTGCAAAGTATCACTGTTACTGTAATGAGGCTTAATTGACTGATGCTGTACAAAGAATATAGTTTAAAAAATACATATTTAAAAAAAGAAACAGGTTTGAAGCAGTTCTAAATAGAGGTGGAGAGTTCAGTGCAGTCAATCAAATGAGGCGTGGAGTTGTGTAGTAGTTGTTGTGAATGTAGTAGTGTATTCATCTGTTTATAAGATGAAGCGTCAATTCACAATTCACCAAACGTCCGGTTTTCCCTGGACATGTCAGTTTTTTGCGTCTTGTCCTAGGCTTCCGGGTTTTTTTTCATAATGTGATGCAAATGTCCGGGTTTTCATGATCTGTCATTGGGCATTTAAACTGAGCGTCTCTCGTAGCTCTCTGTACACTCAGAAGGAGCAAGCAAACACAGACAGTTGGTCAGTCTGCAACATGCCAACAATGACAACAATTGAACAATGACTTATACAAGAAATTCCCCATTTTTACTAACCCAAGGGTTAGTAAGAGGCCATGTGCACAGGTTGCAAGGTGGGAATAGCTCAATGTTGAGGCCCCACCCCCCACACCCCCGGTAAGGTGTCCGGGTTTTCAAAAATGGAAATATGGTCACCCTAAATCCTTTATAATCACAATAATTTTATTTGTTGACTAATACACATTTTAGTCAACTAGACACAACAAAGACTACCCTAACATTTAATCTGATAATCCCTTACCAGTTTGTAACAAGTGCCTGACTAACTTTCCAATTCTGGCAACTAGCAGGCTAACAGCACAGCAGCATTACGCTCTTGTTTATATCCTTGTTGGATATAAAATGGTCAATAATTAGACTGCACACAATAATCTCCCTTTAACCTCAGTGCTGCTTCTATATAGTATAATAAGTGCACTATTTATGACAAGTGAAATGATCAAAGTAAAACAAAAAACGGGCCCAAATAATCTCCAAAAGTGTGGCTCATCCAGCTCTGAAAATGAGTTGTATGTATTTCTATGGCACCATCACATTTCTGTCCCATCATCAGACTTGTGTAATCTTCAGCTGTCCTTACATCTGTGACATTTTCAGGACACTGTGGCCATAACCATTATAGCCCTTGTTAAACTCTGGTCATAACTCAGTGAAACAGGCCTCAAAGTCTGACAGTTACTGATGTGAGAGCTGAAAAACAGAAAGGCCGTCTCTCTTCTTCATTCTCCCTGTGTAAAACGTCTGCTGCTGTCTGCGTTCTCAAATTGAGAAATGACTCCTCATGCTCAGATAAAACAAGATTTGATGAAACGCAGACTGCATGTTAAACCCCAGGTATAAAAAGGATTGGAAATTGGATTTTTTTTTTCTCTTTTTTTTTTATACTTTTAGAAGCAGTTTTTCAGCTTTCTGTGAAGTCAAATTGAAGTTAAATCCCATTCCTTTTACATGTTTTTGTCCAAGTAACAAAAACTTTGTTCATCTGTCATTTATTGATGAGTAAATTCATGTCTGACTTTAAAACATGACTGGGTGATCAAACAAAAATAATGAATTACATTTTTTTCAGTAGGCTTGATTTAATTTTTATCTTATTAAAAACACATGAAGTTGCATTCAATATTCATTTCCATAACGTAAACATAACCAATACAGATATTACTCTTTAAAGGTCCTATAATACACAAAACTCTCTTGTGAGCTTCAGGCCATGTTCTAATGCTGCTCTCTCCTCAAAAACACACCTGCACTTGTGTTTTGTTTCATTCACACATGTTTGAGTAATTCTTTATTAATTATTATTAGTGCAGTGGTAGTTTTCAAGTTCCTTTTCCCTTTAGTTTAGATTCTTAATTCCAGGGTTGAAATCCCCCAAATGATTCTAGTGACGGTGTATGTTTAAAAATATAGTGGAGCACCTGCTGTATTACAACATGACATCACAAGGTGGAACAGTGTTTTTTGTTTGAGGTTTGTGTGTGAATGAAACAAAACACAAATGCAGATACGTATGTGTGTGATGAGGAAACTACTTTAGAACATAATATGGGCTTTTAAAAAAGTAGAGTAGACGGAGAAGGGGAAAAAGGGGTTTTTCAGAGCAGTAGCATATTACTTGCAGAAGAATAAAGTTTACTTAAACATTCATGAATCTAAATACAACCTTGAGTGTGTAAATGAGGGAAAACAATCACTTAAAAGCTCTTAAAGGTCAGTTTTGCATAATATGTCTCCTTTCAATGAACCAATGAATCAACTCTTTAAAAGTCCATTAACAAAACAGATTGAATATATGTTGTCCCAAATCCAGGACAGAACTGGGTGTTTGGATATGAGCCCTGAATGCTGCTTGTTTCCACAGCCCTCTCTGAACCCGGAAGGCTCTGACAGTGACGTGGTGCTTCTGAATCGCTGGAGTGTGAGGAACTTTCAGGTCCAACGTGGCGACATCGTCTCCGTTGTGTGAGTACAAATTGAAAGAGTGAAGTCTTTCTCTCATTATTCCTGCTGTATCAGTGCTTATGATGCTGCCAAACATGTCATAATGATCTACTGGGACAATCTGCTTTTTGGCCCCTGGTGTATTTTCAGAATTTAGTTTAGAATGTCTACTTCCAGAGGTCTGCCCACCGCTGTCCACTAGAAGTTCACCTAAATATTCATCACCAAACAATTCACCGACATATTGATCAGTATATACTTTGAGTCATGATACTCATCTCAGTACTTGAATACCAGTATGACAGTCTGGTGTATATTAATGATGCTGCACTTTTGCACTGATGTCAATTGTTTCCTGAATGTCAGGTGTGGGTTACACCTGGTTTAGTGCTGCTCCTGTGCAGTTCCAGTCTTCAGTTGTCTGTGCTACTCAATATACTCAAAAAATCTATTGTTATCGCAGTACTGGAGCATGTATATGTACATGTCTCCTTCTTCTCCTCCTTCTCCTACTTCTCCTCTTTCTCCCCTCTCTTGCCACTCTCACTCCTCTTCTTCTCTTCTTTCTCACTCTTCTTCCTCTCTTCTCTGTCACTCCTCTTCCTCTCTCTCCTCTCATTTTTCCTGAGTTTGTTCCTCGATCTTCTCGCCTTGTGTTTACCTGACAGGGCTTTGAACCTGGCTTTGCTTTGGTCTTCAAAGTGAGAGATACAGAGCGTCTTTTATTTGAAAAACATCTGCTCCGTCGCGCTCATATCGGGGGATTTATGGGAATCTAACATAAAACGCATCTATTATCTTTGAGGAAAATACTATTTATTTCGATTTAAATTTCAAAGGTGATATGAACACAGTATAGGGGGCAGGACTGTTTTATAGCAGGGATATAGTTAGACCAGGATTGTTTTGAGTGTAGCAGATGTGTTTCAATACAGCTAGGTTTTATACTATTAAGAAATATAGTGTGCTGGCTTTCCACAGACCTGACCTGTAACTTGATCTGTGTCCATGGCTTGTCTCCATGGAGATAAATATGCTTAAAGTGAAATGGTGAAACATCTAGGAAAAGATCTCATGAAAACAAACGGGATAGACTCTGTTTTTAAACAAATCCTGTTTGAACTCTTTTTCAATCTGAGTACTGTACTTGTATTTATGACTTTGGCAGTGGTTGTAAAGTAGGGCTAGATTGTCTAATGGACTAGCTGACTATTAAAAAAATATAGTTGTATTTTCATCATTGTAATTGTTATCTGAACTGAGACTCTAAAACACATAAAAACACCCTTTAATAACAAAGGGAACTTTTAGAGAACATTAAAAAAAAAAAAGAATAAACTGCTTTCCATCAGTAGTACTCTATTCTCTATTTAGACGCCTTAACTCATTTACATTTCATTTTCATTTCATTTACAAAGTCTGAATGTACAATAGAAATAATCATCTGACTAGTTGATCAATCAAAAAAAGGATTGTCAGAAATATTGAAAATCATATCCTTCCATTTTCTTCCACTTTATCTGGGCCCGTGGAGGCAGCAGTCTGAGCAGGGAGGCCCAAAAATCAGATACTAATTCACATTAGTATCGATACTAGTTTGAGCTGGTATTGATACTAAAACAGTCCCATTTACAGGACAGAAATGAAGCTTTCCTGAACATCTGTAGAATGATGTTGAGCTGGATCAGAACAAGTGTAAGAGCACGTAGACTAGTATACACACATGGACCAACATGACCACTATTTATTTAATGATAAAAAGAAAAAAGACAACATAACATTAGAAATAGATGGGATACAGATTCAAAGAGTAAATGAAACCAAGTATTTAGGAGTTATGGTTGATGAAGGTCTAAACTGGAGTTTGTCTCATATAAATGACACAAAAGGCAAAATTTCCAAAGCCATTGCAAAGTAAAGTTCTCACTAAATAGTACAGCATTATTAACTTTGTATAACTCTATAATTGCACCAGATCTGATTGACTGTGTAGAAATTTGGGGGTCAACATGTAAAACTTACCTACAACCTGTATTTATTTGACAAAAAAGGGCCTTTAGAATTATCACCAACAGTCATTGTAGAGAGACATCCAACCCAATATTTGTTCAACTTAAAGTGTTGAAAATGCAGGAAATTGTTAACTTAACTCAGCAATATCATGCAGTATAAAGAAAAGTGCAATGTGTTACCTGTAAATATTCAAAGACAGTTTGAGATGAGAACAAGACACTACAATTTAAAAGGAACCTACATGTTTAAAAAACCCAGATTAAGGTTCTGGAGCGAAGTGTCGCTGTGAAAGGAGTTCACTTATGGAAGAGTCTTGACAAAGAAATAAAAGAGTCAAGTACAATGATGACATTTAAAAAATACATAAAATCAAATGCAATGTGCATGTATGAAAAAGAAAACTAAGTTGTTGTGCATAATAGTGAAGATTTCTGTTTGCAATTGATCAGTAATTGTGCCTGAACTGATTTGGAATGTTTAGTAACTATCGGTCTTGAAAGGGGAAAGGAGGGCAGATAACATAAGATTTCTCTTCTTTCAGCTCCTTTTTATTCATTTCTTGTATGTCTGATCTTGTGATACTCTCGATGTCTTTTTATACTTTATGAATGAAATAAACAAATACAAATACAAATACAAACTTACTGCACCACTGAGGATTACATTACACACATATAAGACACATGGCAATAGAAAAGAAAGTACTATAATATAATGCTGAAAATCACATTCTATTGTCTGAAGAAACTCTTTAATATTAAAATAGGCGTTGAGTTTATATCGTGGCAAAACTAAATCAAGAAACAATCACTGACTAAAACAATCAGATGCAGCTTGATTGTACAGTTTATCTGACACAAACCATATCTTTAAACCCAAAGCAGGAGCACACAGGCATGTAGCGCTATATTTACCAGTTATATTTAGCGAAGAAGTGACTGACGCTGTGCCCAGAGGACCTCATTTATGTGACAATGTGAAATCTCGTTAGTGCGTCACTTACTTCACCAGAGTCTGTCCAGAAACAACAAACAGGCTCCAGCTGCTCATCTGATGCTCCCACATTTTCAGCTCAGAAAAACCTGCTTTCACCAATCAAGCACAATGACGACTTCAAATGGCCGTCTGGGTTCAGTGGCTAGTTTGACTTTGTAGAATTTTCAGTTTTAAAGCTCCCATATTTTTAGTTTGATTTTTTTTAACCACACAAACCCTGCATTCTTCTCTCAAATCCTGTACACCTTCATTAGGATCATTTGGATCATTTGAGCCCTGGAATTGCCAATCTCTGTTGAGCTAAAGGTAAAATGAGCTGTTCTGTGCTTCATGGCATCACAAAGTGGAACTGAGCATTTTGAGCTTTGGACAGAATAATAATAAAGGATTACTCAAACATGTGAATGAAAAAAAATCACAATTCCAGGGATGTTTTTGAGGATGTAGCGTGGTTTAAAGTTCACTAGGGTAATATTGGACTTTTAATAAAAGATTTACATTTTAAAAGTGTCCAGAAAAATTGACAAAAAGACTGAACAGACAAACTAATACAAGAATCACATTCCAGAACATGTTGGTACAGATCTAAACTATAGGGTTAGCTGTTTTTAACACAGGAGAATTGGTTGATTGTGAGGAAATGGTACTTCTAAAATTGCAGTCCTGTTATGATCCAGCTCAGCTAGCGTAGGGGAAGTAACAAAAAAACAGATGTTAAATGGTAAAATAAAATGAATTTAATGAACAGGAATGCAAAAAGTAATTTAACTAAAGTGGTCTAAAATATGTGCAAAAATGTGTAAGCAAAAGTACCTAAAAGCAAAAGAACAGGATTAACTTAGAATGAGTTTTCAAGTGACAAACATGAGGAACACATAAAACACAAACAAAACACAAGTGTCCCTACACAAAAAACACATGAACACATAAACCTACAAACAGAATGGAGTGACAGCTCAAAACAAGAACACAAAACTAAACTAAACTGTCCCACACACAGAGAGTTAAGTCAGACGTACACTGTGTGATTTTTGACCCTTTTTGAGCAAATGTTTCACTCGTGCGACTGTTTTGGGGATCGGGCCGAGTTATGGCTTCATTGTGTGTCGTGCTTCATGTTGTAAAATTGGGGTAAAGAAAACAGATTAATACCTCACAACCAGCTCCTGATCGGCATTTGTAGGTCGCAAGCAAATCAAACTAGTTTGAAATCCAGTCACCTCTCGTGAGGGTGAGGGTCGAGACTGAGCATGTGCAGACACAGAAGTGGAAGCAGGATATGAGGTTGTGGCGCCGGAGAGTGTTTTGGCTAATCGAGCAACACAGAACAGACGTTTGGTGAAAAACTTGATGCAACTTACCTCCAGTTCCCTCTGAAGAACTGACAGCCCTTACTGCCCACGTCTACACAGACATTTCTTTGATCATATTCGTCGTCTCTTCTTTTTGGGTTTGTCTGTGCAGAGAATGACACAAATTGCCAAGACAGTGCGTCTGTTTTTTACCGGGATCATTGTGTCTCCACACGTCTGTGGTTTTCTAATTCCATAGTTTTCTTCTTTGTAGTTTTGTACTTCAGGAATAACAACTCCAGTCTTTATGTGAACGTACAGTGTGCACAGGCAGGTCACATCCGAGCATCAGTTCATTCAGTGTGAGAACATGATTTGTGAACTGTGAACTTTAAAACCCTGCGATTTGTTCATACAGTTTAAGCTGCGGCTGAATGACACGACCAAATATATCGCACAGTGTATGTTCGGCATTAGACTAACAGCATCCATCAGTGAGACACTGGCACAAAGGCCAGCAGCCTCGAGCAGGTGGAGAGGATCTTCTCAAAAAGGGGGGGAGGCAGCTGAAAGGGAGACGGGAATGTCAAGGTGTAGTAGTGCTCCGCCAATCAGGGACCAGAATGCAGCAGCCAACCAGGAACAGGCAGGAGAGTCCACCAACCAATGAAAGGGCTCACACAGTCAGAGCTGCCAGAGAGACACAGGCTTTAGCTACAC